AAGCGACCACTGACCAAGACGCCCCTCAGCAGGCCTGTCCTTCCTGGGGGTCTCCTACTCCTGTCCCAGATCCGGTCTTTCCTCCGCGCCCTATCTTCCGCACTTCCCCCCTTCATCCTTTACTTGTCCTCCTGTCTTGCCTGCTCTGCTCCTGCATCATATTATGATTCTTCCTCCCGCGTCCCCTGTCCCTCCTCTTTTCCATGCGGGCGTAGGAAGATTGACATCCATGGGTTTGGCCCTGGAATCGCACCCAGAGTCGGCAGAACTTGCACCTGGAACTGCGCCGAAATATTCTGTTCGAGCTCCGCACAAATATCCTACAAGCCCGCTTTCAGATCAAGGAGTCCTTCCATTGGTTCTGGAACTGTCTGGATGACAACTGCGATCTTCACGTCGTCGAAACGCTCGTCAGGGCTGGCACGATCGTCGCATTGCTGCACAACAGAAACTTCGAAATCGGCCACCTTATCCGGCAGAAGGCCCCCCCCCCCCCCCCCCCCAACTTCGAGAACGGTCGTGACCTCGTAACTCAGAATTGCTGCCATCAGTCCTCCACATGTGCTTCTCATATCGAGCGCACCTTTCCCGCCGCATCTCAAAACCGCTCTATGTTTCCAGCTTGCGGTGCACATTGGCAGCTTGATAAGGCCTGCCAACATATAGGCAATGTTGGCCGCATGCTGTTTCACAGGCGCGGCAATTCCTGAACAAATGATTCCATCCTGTGTCTTTCTAGCGCGCTCCATGTGTTCCAACATCTCGCAAGTCACTGCACCTGAATGGTTTTCAAACCGAAGCGACCATTCCGGCCAATCCGGATCTTGGAAAATCATGAACGTCCTTACCGAAAAGGTTAGTTCGTATCTATGAACCCTTGGGCAATTTTCTGTTTTCCTGGACTGTTCCAAGAACCGTTCCCTGGCCCCCCCGTGAACCTGAAGTCTACGACTTTTTAAACACGTTTCCGCCGCTATGTTTGACAGTAAACGTGTTTTTTTGTTTCCTGGGATTTGTTTGACCCAAGCCGGACAAGGCGGGCGAGGAGAGTGAGACGAGAGATGGGGACAAGCGCTTCACTTCCAACAGGAGGAAAGATAAGAGGAGGAGCAGGAAGAGCAAAATGAGCTGGGCAGCTGATCGGGCAGCGGGCGCCCTTCCTGCAGCGCTGGGCCGCGCTGGGCGGACGGCGCTGGCTGGGCTGCAGGCGCTCGGTGCGGCTGGCGAGCGGGGCCGCGCGTTAGCTGGGCTGCGGGCGCCGCGCGGCAGCTGGGCACGACCGCCAGGCGGAGCTGGCATAGGCAAGCGCGCTCCACTACTCGCAGAATCACTACTCGCAAATGGCCTGGATCCGCGGTGGGGGATCTACGATATATTACATCGAGGCGAACGTAAGTTTTTTCTTCATACGTTTGCGAGTAAGCACTTTGCGAGTAGTGAAACGCGGTTGGCCAGCACTGGCCAGCGGCCGGCGACGGGCGGCCGCGGCTGGCAGGACTGGCGCCTGCAGGCCAATGGCGGCAACGGCGCGCCAGGCTGCGGGCGCCAGGCCGGGCGGGCCGGCGGCAGGCGGCTCGGCCCGAAATGGCGGCAGGCCCTCCACCAGACTCTGGAGGGCCCCGCTGCCGCGCGGGGTCTGCCCGGCGCTGCTGCTGCGGGAGGCGCTGATAAGGGTCAGCGGGCGCGGCGGCCTGGAACACCGGGCCGTGCCCGCGGCCGGCTAACTGGTCGTGCGGGTCCCCGCGGCGCTCCCGGATATGCCTAGACTAAAACAATGACCGGCGCACCCTTTCTTCCTGGGAGCGGCCGCACTTTGAAAATCGCTCTCGTGGAACCATGACGTTTGAGGGGGGTGTGGGGGAATGCACTCTCCCCATCAACGAGCGTCGGCCGCGCGGGAAGATTCGCGGCGGCCTGCAGAAACAGGGAAGAGGTAGGAGGGAGAAGTAAAGAAGTAGAAGGAGGGGGAGTAGTGGAAGTAGTAAAGGTAGATGTAGTAGTAGTTGTCGTGGAAATAGTAGTAGTAGTAGTAGTAGTAGTAGTAGTAGTAGTAGTAGTAGTAGTAGTAGTAGTAATAGTAGTAGTAGTAGTAGTAGTAGTAGTAGTAGTCGTAGTAGTAGTAGTAGTAGTAGTAGTAGTAGTAGTAGTAGTAGTA